ATTCATGCACACTAGCTGGGTGTGTGGAGCTTCCATGCTCTTGAGGAAATCCCCAGCCCCAAGGCTCACTGGCCAGGCTGTGTTCCGGAGGCAGGATTTGAGACTGTATTCCCATGTCAATCTCATTCTTCATCCTGTGCTCCTGTCCCCAGACACTAACCTGACACTTCATGCCCTGAAGATGCCCCAGCATCTGCTTCCTACTTTAACGAGGATGTTAGACCACCATAACTGCCAGGATCCTTTCTTCCTGTAAACACTCAGCTTCTAATTCATTTAAATGTTTTGTTAAAAATAGGGCTGTCAAACAATTTAAAAATTACAATTAATTGCAAGATTAAAAAAGCATGATATTAATCTCAGTTTTAATCACACTGTTAAACAATGAATGACAGAATGCCTATCTAAATGTATACTACTACTTTTGGGTGTTTTTGTACATTTTCAATTATCTTCATTTCAATTACAATTCTAACTTACAATGCCACCTGCAAGTGAGAACAGGTATTCATATAGCAGTGTTGTAGCAGGTGTTGCAAGGTTTTTACATGGCAGATATGCTAAATATTTATATTTCTCTTGATGCTTTTGCTTGTAGACGCTAAAGCTTTACATTGTTTTGTAAAAATATAAATTCCCCTGCCCCCATATATATACACACACATGCAAAAAACTTTTCTGCAGGACGACAGAGTGACGTCGAAGGGACCCGGGGCTGGCGAGAGGGGGGTTGGTGAGTATAGCGAGTAGGGGGTACAGCCACCTACTTTTCTACATTTGTAAGTTGCACTTTAATAATAGAGACTGCACTATGGCACTTGTTTGAACAATGCTGTCTCTTTTGTTTATATTATTGTTTTAATTATAGACATTTGCATTGTAAAAGAGACTTTAATTATAGACATTTGCATTGTAAAAGACACAAAGGAAGCACTGTACACTTTGTATTCTGTGCTGTAATTGAAATGAAAGTATATGAAAATGTAGAAAAACATCCAAAACAGTATTATAAATGTCAATAGGCATTCTATCATTGGTTGCAAGAGTCATGATTAATCACAGTTTTAATCACTATTGTGCTTAAAACACCCAAAAGTAGTATTATACATTTAGATGCTGAGAGAACCATCAGCCTAGAGGGCAGTCACCAGAGGTGGGTGCCACTCCAACAAAGACTGTGATCACAGGCATATCACCCAGAGAAAAGGGGGCATTCATGAGAGGCAGGTGCCAACCCTATTATACCTACTCTAAAATGTTACTGTATGCTGGTAAACTTTACTGCATTGGAGACAATGTGTTCCCTTCGTAGGGCAGGAAGCCCTCTGCATTAGTCAATAGCACCTTAATAAAGGACTAGTCTTAACTGAGTCCAAAGAGAGTCCTCTCATCCATGAGAGGCAAATGTCAGCTGCAATAGAAGGAGCCTTAAGACTCCCAGATGGAAACACACAACTAACAGGAGTAAGGGAATCCACTTCTCCTGCCCAAAAAAGTGTGAGTGGTTTACATTGCCTTTTTAAAAGCAGGATAAAACCTAAATTCTCTTTCCAGCTGAAAGAACGAGTCATCCTTGACAAGTTTCTGTGTATCCACAAAAAACAATAGTTGTCTTTGTGTCTAAGTTTTACTTTAAATGTGGCAATTACTATAGCGATTTCTTGTTTGTAGTATGAGAGTACTGGCGGTTTCTTTGTGCTAGGCACTGTACAGATACCTAGTAAGAGACTATCCTGGTTCTGAAGAGCTTACATTCTAAACCAGTGGTTCCCAAACTTTTTGGCATCACGCCCTCCTTTTTGATTTTTGAAAAACCCTCCCCAAATATCAGCAAAACTTGTTGAGCAAAAAAAAAAAAAAAGGGAACTGAACCAGACAGCAAAACTTGATGGGGAGGAGAAGGGGGAAGCTGGGTAGCCTCGTGCCTCCCCTGGAATTTCTTAATGCCCCCCCCCCAGTTTGGGAACCCACGTTCTAAACAGACAAGGCAGACACAGTAGGATAAAGGAAATATCATCTCCATTTAACAGTGTCATCACTGTCTATCCCGTTTATCTGGCATGTGTGGTTGGGCAGTCGGAAGGTGGTAGAATAGCATGGCTGAGGTGCTGGTGTCTGCTGGCTAATCTCCCTACACCCTATACAGGGCTATGGGAAACAGTGTAAGTTAGCTGCTTTCCTTTTGGGACAAGGGATTTTTAGGTTAAATTTGTTTTGCTGCATACACATAATTCAGCCAAACAGCTAATCTCATCTACTGCCTACCCTACATCTCAATTTACTTTGCAATTCCCTGTAAAATAACCACATCCTCATTCCTTGATTTCTATTCACACCGTCCAAATCTCCATTCTTACAGTAACATAGAGCATGTTGCCTGCCAATGAATGCTATCCAGCACCAGAGGCAAGCAATTTTCAAGATCTAAAGAGTCAGGAAGTAATAAAAATTAAAGAATAAGAGTCCTCTTTTTATTATTTTTACTAATGTGTATAGTGTACACAAGTTATAACAATCTTTCTTGAGAGCAAATTACAGGGTTAGCATAGACAAAAAAAAACCCAACACTTTGAGACAATTTAGTGACAATTCCTCCCAGAAGAGCTTTACCATAAGGGTTTCTATTCCAAAGAAAGCATGCCAACACTTTTCTAGGCTGAATGAGAAAGGAATGTGTATAAAATGGAGGAAGGAATATGTCGTGCACAGGAATAGTGGAATATCCCTTTAAAATTGTAAATAATTTGCCTTTGTGCTTCCTTAGAAGCTGCCAGAGCCCAACCAGATCAGCTGTGAGTACATGGAGGCCTCTCACTAAACACTTGTTTGGATTCCACTGCAGACATGTGGTTCCCTCATGTGTGTGTGTAAAGCAAAGGTGAAAGTTCCTCTAGTCACAGCAGCGCTCGGGCGCTCTGCTGCAGGAGCAGGTGCAGTGTGGGGTGCACTCCCAGCTGGGCCCTGCTGGCTCTCAGGACTCTCCTGCAGGCTGGTGGTGGCCCCACCAGCACTGGCTGGTCATCAGGCAGCTCAGAAACAGGAGCAGCGCAGGACAGGGACCTACCCACCACCTCTCACATGCTCCCCTACACAGACACATATCTAACCTCCTGCCCAGAGTCCCCCCTCAGTCCCCTGCCTTGACTCTTGCACTCCCCCTCCACACATCCCCCAGCTTACTGCTGAGCTCCCTGCACTCCACCCCACACTTAAATTTCTTACAGCCACTGTCATATTGCATACCTCAAACTCCTTGTCCTGAGATCCCCCCTCCCAAAAAGGGAGGTTGCTGTGTGACAGTAGCAGTAAGAAATTTATGTTACTTTCACCCCTGATCACTAGAACGAGGACAAGACAAACTCAAAACTGGATTTACATTAAACTATAAAGGCCAGAGGCTCAGCTCTATGGAAGTCAGATGACATCCATGGAAGATGTGATGAATTGTCAACATCTAATCTGAAATCTCTGCTAAATCTCCAGGAATAGTATCTGCAGCCAGTGGCGGCCCATCAATACAGGTGAACTAGCCGGTCGCCTAGGGCGCCGAGATAAATGGCTATTGAGGGCTTTGGAGGCGGGGGCGCCGATCATGCGTTTCGCCTAGGGTGCCAGTTGCCGGCAGCTCGTCTAGGGCGGCTGCTGTCTGCAGCATGGACAAGCAAATGGAAAGTGCACATTAGTAACCAATGTATCTAACAGGAAGATATCTCTTTAAGAGACCCCCTGGGGGGGGGGGAGGAGTAAATTGTGTCTGGGTCACTGTTGCCAGGCGGATTTAGCTCTCCATATCCAGAAGCTTCTGGAATTGGGTGTGGTGGTTTGGGGGTCTGCTCCAATAAGGTCTGCCCCTGTTGCTGGGGTCAGACTCCACCAGGGCAAGCACAGGGGGCTGCTGCTTGTCTAAGGGAGGCTGGTGTGAGCTGGGAGACGCTTTGCTCAGGGGCAGAATGCAAGCTGCTGTCCCTCACTTTGCAGCAGGTTAGTGAGGTTGTTAATCCCCTACCAGGGAGCATGGGCAATGTGAATTATAGCAAGGGTGAACTCGCAGGGAAAAAGAACTTTTGCTTTCATTGTATGATTTGTATGTTGCTTTGATATTAGCCAATCGATTCTAGTTAGCTTTCTTAAGTGGGGTGAGGTGTTTAAATAGTAACAGGGAATGAGCCCTTTCTATTTCATTTGTTCTCAGTTTTTGTATTTTCTTGTAACAGGGTTTTCTTTAAATCTGTATCCTTGTGACTTAGAGAACGGAGTGACTGATTAATCAGCTGACTGATTTTATGGATTTAAATAAATAACTTTATGTTGTTAGTTCCTTTTGGGACTTAATGTGAGGAGGTTGACCCTGTGCAATCCTTGCTGAAAATCTTCACAGACTGAACTCTGGATCTCCAGTGACTTTTGTGTGGGAACAAAAGACAGGACTATGCAGCACTTTAAAGACTAACAAGATGGTTTATTAGGTGATGAGCTTTCATGGGCCAGACCCACTTCCTGAGATCAAATTGAGTTAGGTTTTGTAAGGCACTGACGGAGGGTAATGAAGTAAAGTATAGCCCATCTGAGGTTACACTTTGAAATTTCTTCTCAGGGGACCATTGCTCTGGCCCTGAAGAGAATACCCAGGGAAAATTCTAGAAAATCAAATCACACCCTTTAGTCTCAGAGATTGAGTTTTCCATTTGAACAGCTGCAGTAAACTCATTAGATGTTGCAGTGACAAGCCTGGCAGGCTCTTGATATGCTTATGTAATTACATGATCATTACATGCATTCCATTATACATTGACCATGGATACTGACTCACAACTGGAACCTACATTGTGTGCATGGGTAAATAGCCTCCCTTCAGGTAGTCACTGAAACAGCTTCAGAGAGGGATTAAAATGATGATTAATCTCAAAGAGATGCTGCTACAGAATGAAGCATATACAACAGTAAGGCCAGGTCTATGCTGCCGATCTATATATCCGTGTAAGTACATTTCTGTGGAATGTAGAAGCATACACAACAGTAAGGCCAGGTCTATGCTGCCGATCTAAATATCCATGTAAGTACATCTCTGTGGAATGTGAAAAATCGATACCTTTGATCAACGTAATTATATGGATCTAACCCTGGTGTAGACAGCACTATGTCAGCAGGAGAGCTTCTCCCATCTCCAGACCTGCTGCCTCTGGGGGAGGTGGATTAACAATGCTGACAGAAGAAGCCGTCCTGTCAGCCTGTGAGGATGTTTCAGTTAAGTGCTATAGCTCTCCTAAGATATATAAGGAGAACATGGCAGAAAACTGCACTTATCTTGGGACAGCCTGGATCTGGTAGGGGTATGGGGCAAGTGTCGCAGCAAAGTGTCCATCCTCTCGAGGTCTGGGCTGGCCTTCAGGGAGACAGAAGGTGAAATGCTGCAGAAGGCAGGTGAAGAAGAGGAAAAGCTCCATCCTGGCCAGCTGCTCCCCTAGGCAAACACGACGACCTGCAAGAGTGGGCGTGAGAAAAGAGGGAGGAGGCAGAGAGAAGGGGGATACAATACCAAATATAAGTGACCAATCACTGTAGGTGTAAGACACTTATTGCGCACCCACAGGTTGGAGGGAACAGAGAATCTGCCTCCATCTGCAGCAGATGGTGAGTCTCCCTGTTCCTAGCCCTGTGTAAACGGAGTACATAGGAAATAATTAATCAGACCAGTCAATGTGCTTTTCATTTCAATTCCCTGTCTCTGATGGTGGCCAGCACCAAAAGCTTCAGAGGAAAGTATAAAACAAAGGACTCTGTCAGTTGATTTGGAGAGAGGAATTACTGACTAATTAGGCTGACTCAAAAGAGTTAGACACACTTAAATACACATTCAAATGCTTCAGGGGGTAGCCCAATTAGTCTGTAACAGGAAAACCTTAAAAATCAACAAATAGACTAGTAGCATCTTAAAGACTAACAAAACATGTGATGGTATCATGAGCTTTCATGGGCACAGCCCACTTCTTCAGGTAACTTCAGATAAATACACATTGACATTGGGCAACTGTCAGCTCATTAAATTGGCATAACTCTCCTGAAGTAAAAGGATCAATGGTAGTTTACACCAGTTGAAGATCTACCCCTTTTGCTCTTTGTCTTGTAGACTCTAAATGAGCAAATAAATGCCTTTAGATAAAGAAATCTGAGGTGGGACAATATGACTGTGCTACCAGGCAGGAGATTTTGGTTCTAGTATGATTTGGGTTTCCTGGATTCAAGGCAAGTACAAATGATGCACTTCACAGGATAGACTGCTGTAAATCTTTGCAGTTCTCCTACAAACATGGTCACCTCACAGCCAACCTGAAAGACATTACTGGTGTCATATATACTCCCATATCCACTGCAAAATCCTCTCTCTAGTTGTTAGAAAACCTTTATGACCAACCTCCCACATACCTCTTTGGTCTAATCTCTTTGAAGACAGGAAATTTTGAAGTCTCTCACTTGATACCTCTAGTGAACAAGCTATGGGTCAGACTTATGTTATGAGCTGGGTGAAATCTTGTGTGGCACAGAACCAGAATGGCTAATTGTTCCAGATTCAACCTTTAGAAACATATTAGTAGATAATGATCGTGTTTGTGTGTGTATTGGGGGGGAGGGGGACAACGATTATTCTTAGAGGTTGACAATGCAACCAAATGGTTCCTGCCTATGCTGTATTGTTAGTCAGACGGGAAAAGGAGGTGTTAACATATTCACAGGAACTGTGACTGTACTGATATCATGGTCATTTCTCTTTGAAGTGTGTAGTAAGCTACCTGTAAATGGGAAGTTGCTATATGTATGTAGATGTATTACCAATAGGACCTAGAAAATAGGTCAAGGCTGCTATTGTTCACCAAAGGATTGCATGCTGTCAGGGAGGCTGTTAGACAACCATAAAAAAGAACTCTAGAGCCTTGATCCTTTTGTTATCTCAGCCGATTTTTAATACAGAGGCAGCAATGTGAGATGGCAGAGGGTTCCCCAGATGTGGGGCCGAGAGCTCACTGGCTGCCAGCCCTGCGCCCAGGGACCATCGGATAATCATGTAACCACTAAGATTTAGTGCGGTTACTCAACTGTTAAACAATATCTAACATCCCTGTTACATATGCCTCTGGAGCAAGCAGAATTTCAAAGCTAGAGCTTCTGCCTATGAGAAAGGAAGAGGGGGAGCTATTTTGCAGATTGCATATCAGGGTACCACCAGAGCACTGTAGAACTGGCCATGTTCAGCACAAGACTGGGTTGACCTTCCCCTTGGGGGAGCTGCTTTCATGATGGGACACCTTCCATTAGAGGATATCTGCTCCTCTCCCAGCTGCTCCTCCCTTGGGACTTACCTGCAGAGAAAGGCAAGAAGGCCTCTGGCTTCACAAACTGCCCATCTGCATCCAGGAAATGCTCTGGGTAGAACTGATGCGGCTTCTCCCAAACTGTTTCATCCTTCAGTACTGAGGACAAGTTGGTGATGACTGTCGTCCCCTGACCCACCCCAGAGAAGAAAAGGGTTCATAAGAATGTCACATGAGAGCAGGCCAGCACCTGCACTGTCAAGATCCCCATCTCAATAGTGGTTATAGTAGAATGCTTGAGTGGAGGGCACAAAACCCATCTCAAGTACCTAATTGAATGGTATGATCTTATAGTGCAGTGGAGAGGGACTGTTACAAGATCCTAGCCAGTGTGGAGCATATGCTGTGCAGCCTGACTCCCTTGAACATTGCACACTAGCTAGACTACAAGTATGCAGCTGATGTTTTTATTGGCTAATGAGTTCATGTGATGAAAGTTGCTTCTTTTCTACTCCCCAATTCCTTCAGATATTTTCTAAAGATAATTTTTGCTTTAGTCACAGTGTGCTGATTGAGAGATTCCAGACTACAATTCTCCCTGTCTTTTCAGAGAAAGTTAGAGCTTTTCCCTCTCCCATGCCTCAGCCCTGAGCTACAGAAGCTTCCTCTAAGGAGAAAAGTGTAATTTAGTATTATATGGTTTTGGTCTGTCCATGGGACTGTTACGTAGGACGGCAATGAGCGGCCATCGTTGTGTCTCTTGGAACTGGACTGAGATCCACAGTAGTATCTGAACAACTTCAGATAATAAAGAGTCTTAGTTGACACTGTGCTGGATTTGAAGTGGTGACCTTGTGAGAAGTTTCTAGATCCCATTCCACATTCCTTCCAAACAGTCTATCAGCATTACCTTCCTCCATCTACAAGCAGATGCACTGAATGTTATTAGGTGCCCAAGACAAAATTACAATCTACTTTTGTAATGATTGCAGTGCTTAGTTGCGTTTCTGGTAGAGTCCCTGTTTTCTGAGATAACCAAAGACTTATTGAAAATTGAGATAACTATATAAAAAAGGCCCAAGCCCTTTCAAAACAGCACATTTGATAACTCAGCAATGGTTGTATGATTCAGGGCCCGGTGCTCTACCCCACTCTGCAGGGAACCTTGGGGAGATTTGCATATGGAATGTCTGCAAGGGGAGAGGATGTTTGCGCCCCCTGCTTGGCCTGAGATACCTTTGGAATGAAGAAGCCTTGGAGCTCGGTGTCCCGGTATGTCATGTGGGGCACTGCAACAGGAACGATATCCCCATAACGTTGAGTTTCGTGGATCACAGCATTGGTATAAGGCATGTTCACTTGGTCCTCCATCTGGGGTGACCTGTCCCTGCCAATCACCTTATCAATTTCCTCTTGGACTTTAGCTGGAAACAAAACAGTGGAACTGTTACAAGACCCTAGCCAGTGTGGAGCGTATGCTGTGCAGCCTGACTCCCTTGAACATTGCACACTAGCTAGACTGTTGAAGATGATGTAACATATTTAATGATGCACGTCAACACCATAGAGTTGAGGAACCTACAGATTAACCCTTAGGGTATAAATTCTCTGAGGCATGGATTGTCTGTTTATTATTATTTGTACAGTGCTCAGCACAATTAGGAACCAATTTTGACTAGAGTCTGGGTGCTATTATAATATAGAAGAAGAATTAATAATGTGGTTTATATCAGCACTTGTGAGCCACCTTCCTATCAACCACTGAGCAGTTTACAAGTGAAGTATCTCTAGGAAGTGAGTGCTCTAAGTGCCTGGGAGGTGGCTGGTGATGGTGTCTGGGGGACATGTGGATCACAGCATTGGTGCCCCCTTGGGGTCAGGAAGGATACCCAGCTGTGGGATGAGGACATGGCTCTTGTCTAGACAAACTTTGATCCATGTATGGACAAAGGTAAACATGGTTCTTATCTGGACAAAGTAATGTGGAATTAGGAGCAGAAAGAGAATTACACTCATCCTTGGTTACTCAGGCCAATTTACATAGTAATTCTCCATTATATGGGTTAATAAGCTGTCAAGGTTAGAGACATCCTACTTAATCCATACTGTATTTTATCAACTTGTGCATAGGCAACAACTTCTTAATTTCCTCAGAAGTGCTCCACTCCACCCCTTCCCCAAGGCCCAAACTGCACTCTGCCTCTTCCTGCCCCCACTCCACCCAGTCCTCCAAGCATACACTGACTTTGCTCAACTTCCCTGCCCCGCACAGTGCTTCTAGCATGCCGCTGAACAACCATGGGTTGGAGGCTCTGGGAGGGAGGGGAAGGATGTGATGAGCAGACATTCCAGTGAGTTCTGTGTACACACTTTTTTCCCCCATGGATGCTCCAGGGCTGGAGTCAGTAACTGTGCACTTGTACATCTGGCATTAGCACGTTTAAACAGGTTAGCATTTATCCCTAAGGAAGCCCTAAGAGACAGAAGAATTATCAAATAGTTACGAGGATATCAAAGTGCACCTCACAAAGAAAACTAGTGAGTTCTCCTTGTGACGCTGAAATCTTGAACAAGAGTTTTCTCTCTCCTTTCTCCCTCACCACAGATCTTTGCTGTCCCCCACAGAGTATTCCAGTGGGATGATTCCCCCGTTACTTCTGTGACTGCTGCTATAGCAGCTTCGTAACCCCTCCCCTTTCCCCCAACACAAAGATGACAGCAGATGCCAAGCAGTTCTGAGTGGGAGCTGCAGCATTGGTAGAATCAGTCACATCTCCACTCGCCCTCTTCCTTACACTGAACGTCAGGATAGAGAAGTATGTACAGCAACGCCCAGCGCAGGGTGGTGGAGGTCGTCTCAGTGCCAGCAGAAAACAAGTCAACTGTTACCAAACGTTGGTTGTTCTCATTGAAACTGCTCCCCACATGCTCTTTAGCCTAAAAGGAACAAAAGAGAATGCGCTGTTCTTACATCAAAACAGGAGTTTCAACCATATTACAATGTTTCATTTACATTTTTTTCCTAAATGAAATGTCAAAAGTGACATGTTCTCATATTTCATTGAAAATTTTTGCGACCAGTTGTTGTAGAAATATATAAGCACAGATGAGATTTTTGTTTTGGAATGTTTTTCCAAAGTGACGAGTTTTGTTGGGGAGAGAGAAGCACAATTGCAGATCATGGCAATTCATATTCTCACATTGAAAGGTTTAATTTTTCGCAGAGTGCAGCACAACATGTTCATGACAACACACCATAATGACTCCTTGGCCACACAGATTTCAAGGTGTAATCATTTATCCCCACACTTCATGAACTTCATCAGAGATAAAGCTCAGGACTTTCTGCTCTGAAAACACAGGTTGTGTCTTCGCTGCAATGTAAGCCCAGGGATAGTGGCACCTGAGTCAGCTTACCCTGGGTTAAAGAACCAGGACATGAACATCCACAGTAGGGTGAGTCAATAGGCGGACCATAGAACAAACCTGTACCACCAAAACCCCATTTAAACAGACACTGAAGTGTTTTAATTTCTTCTTTATCATTATTTTTATTATTTTCTCTAGAGTCTGTACTTTGCCAATATCTTGACTGAGAAGTTTGGACCATGACAAAAAATAATTGACTATCACTGAAAAAGTCTACACAGACTGTCAATCCTGTATTAAGAATTTTCTAATCCAGACATGAACCTCGGGCTCTGGCTTCCACACTGTACCCGACAAAGCTGAATGAAACCAGTCATATCCCAGACTCCCCAGCATCTTCCCAGAATGTGGCTGCTTTCACTGTGACTGTGGGAAAGCTTTCAAGCTAACCCTGAACATTACAAGGTGTTTGACCAGCATACCAGTGTCTTAGGATAATAATTTTTTAAAAATATTATAACAATTAATTTATATATATGTGTACACACACACACAAAATTAAAAGTAGTAATTTCATAATGAAAAATGTAAATGCGCTGTTCTTACATCAGAACAGGAGTCTCAACCATATTACAATGTTTCATTTAAATTTTTTTCTAAATGAAATGTCAAAAGTGACATGTTCTCATACTTCATTGAAAATTTTTGCGGCCAGTTGTTCTAGAACTATATAAGCACAGATGAGATTTTTGTTTTGGAATGTTTTTCCAGCCTGGAATTCCCAACAGCCTGCCTTTGAAGGAAGCTGTGACTTGGAAGGATGACATCTTTACTGTGACCTTTCCCAAAATGATTAAAAGTGTCTCTAAACTGGTTGGCTTACATCAGTGTTGTTCTACAGCAAAGAGTACCCAGGTACAATACCCACTTGAATCAGTGGAAGTCTCACCTTTGACTTAATTGGTTATTGCATCAGATCAGGCCATAAGTGCAATCTCTGTGCAAAGTAAAAGCTCCAAATATCAGCCTATTTAGCTTATTACTGAGCTTGAACTCATTAGATAAAACAGAAGAATGGAACCCTCAGTTGCACACAGAAGTTCTATTAAGGGTAGGAGTTTGCTTGTAATAGGCTAACAGGAAGTGTTCCCATCACAGTTAATAGAGCCAAGAAGAACTACACCTCCTCTTCTCCCACCTTTTCGATCTCATGTAGAAAAACATCAGTGAAGTCTCTCTTTTGGGTAGGATTCCAGGTCGCCTTGTGCTCCTTCACTAGCTCATCTGTGAAGGCCAGGAGCTTCGCTTGTGATTGGAAGACAGTCTGTGGCACTCCGGGTATGTGCAGCAACCAAGGTACTACTATGAGGAACTAAGATAACAGAATCAAAGCAAAAACCATACTCTTTAACTCCCAGAAAAGAATAATTAAAATAAAATCTTACTGATCAATCAAATGGCAGCTTTTTACTGATCAGTTCATATGTGCTGGGTTACCTGGGGCAGGAATCCACTTTCTTCATTCAAGGCTTCTTCAAACACACGGAGCAACCTCTGAAATTTCTTATTGTTATAGTCAAAGCGCTCACCATAGACGAGGAAACAGATCACGTTGCTAACTGCATTGTTTATAAGAAAATGTGGATCAAAAGAACGACCTGAAAAACATACAGAGCCAACCAAAGACATTAGGAGACACATCATCATAACCTGCCCTTCTCTTCATGGAAAGTATTAAGCAAGAAGCTCCCCTTGAGGGCAGGGGACTGGACTTGATGACCTTTCGAGGTCCCTTCCATCCTAGTATTCTATGATTTCAAGACTGCAAATGGAGCAAACATGTTAGAAGTCCCTGTCATTCAGGGAAATTAAGATCTTGCCACCTCTCACATACTAATAAAGATGTCCTGGTCAATATTTGGAAGAGAGACCACCATGGAAAATGTAAAAATTACAGGTTTGTGCTGTGGATTCAGTTATTGGCTCTCATCTCTTTGCCTCAGTACTGAACTAGTGCCTCCTGTGTAAAGACCAATATTACTGTGCTGCTTAAGATCTTGTTTTTAAGACTTCATGGCTTGTTCTGGAAGGGTACGTCTAAACTACATGCCTCCGTCGACGGAGGCATGTAGTCTAGACACACCCGAAGAGTGTTAGTATTGAAGCCGTCACCACATTCCAGTGGAGGTATTTACATTCTATCAACATAGTTCCCCTTTCACTTTCAGTTGGAGATGTTGGGCTTTTTTAAAAAAAAAATCCCATCACAAACTGTCATGTTAAAATAGCTGTCAGGTTCAATCTGATAGGAGGCTTTATGATGGTACTGCATGAAAGATCATTGTGTGTCTGGTCTCCAGAGCACTTTAGTTTCCTTATGAAATTTGAGCTATTGTGTTATTTCTTCCTTCCTAATCTGTTGTATTATCCTTTTGTTTCCTTGTGTATGGGAGTTAGACTGGTCCCTCTGCCCCTTCTTTTGGGTGCCACAAACCTTTTTCAGAACAGATCGCAGAGCATAGAAATCCAGTTTCCTCAATCACACGCTGTTCCAGGGATTTTTTTCCCATCCCAAAGTTCCTCAAGGTGGAGAGTGTAAATCTCCTTTGCTCCTTCCAGGCGTGTCCATATCTTGCAACCACCAACCCTGGAAAGTATTAATAAAGAAAAGACACAATAAACTATAGGAGCACAGCATGCAAAATTCACTGGACAGGAACAAAACAGGGCTGACTTGGAGGGGCTGGTTTGTGAGGAAATACAAAAGGAACTGAGTATAGCTTGCCTAACTGGCAGCTAATGAGAAAAGTTATTGATCCTTCTTAGGTGTAGCTGGTTAATGGAGAAGGGGAGGGGATTATTCAGGGAGGTTCAAGATGTAGGAAGAAGCAATTAGATGAAATTCAGGGCCAGATTCACAGCTAATAAACTTGATTTGTAAGCCACGCTATATTCAGAGGGTGAGAGCCTGAGATTGGGTGCCAGAAACATTTCCCAATGATTAGATTGACTAAACTACTCGATAGTCTCTCACAGTAATGGATGCCCCATCACAAATTATTTAAAATTGGATTGTACAAAGCACTGGAGAACATAGTATACAGAGCAACCTTGCATTGGCCAGAGTATGAGACAGGACAAGGCTGAGAAAATAGGCAACACATAATGGGAGCCTAGCGGTAGGCTAAGCTTCTCCAAACCATCTTTGATAATCCTCTTTACCATGGTCTGAGGCAGTGGGTGGACTTGAAGCCCCTCCAAACAGGCAGGATTTGGGGCAGCTCTGGCAGGTGGGTAAATGGCTCAGGGGAGTGGACTAGGGCTCAGGGTGGCTCAGGCAGGCAAAGGTGTGGGCAGGGCTCTTCCAGCTGTGACGGGGGCTCAGGGCTCCTCTGGCCCAAATGGACAAGAATGGGGAGGGGGAACAGCATAGGGGCAGGGCCACAGGTGAAAGTGACAGGTCAGGAGAGAAGCCTCCTCAATGAGAAGAGGGAGGTTCATGCACTGCCCCTGGTTGATAAGATATGACTCTATAGATATTTTTCAGCTCTTCTCTTTGTTATGAAAGTGCTTTCAGATAATAGAGAACTCCAGCCCAACCAACCTCCTTTTTAGGAGACATTTGTTTCTACCCTCCCCCACTTTCACTCTTGAGTCCTGAAAGTTCCCCAGCAGAAAGCTCCGTTTTTGTTTGTTTTGACAAGTCAAGGGAGGTACCCGCTTAGTGTGAGGGAGTTAATGAGACAAGAATATGCCAGTTCTGGCAATGGCAGCCAATTGGTATTCATTATCATCTACGTTCTACTGAATGTTTCATAATGGCCAAGTCAGTATTTGTAGCAATGCTGCAGTCGGGAGTGAGAATCCCCATTTTCATCTAGTCTGACTTCCTCCTCATGAAAGGTCGCACCAGAGGCTGACTCCAGCAAAAGCGATCTCTGCAGAGACAGGAGAGGGAAGCAGCTCGCTACCTAAGCCCCTTCAACCTCTCCAGTTTCTGAAATGATAAGGCCAGTCCCTCTGCAATGTTGCCAGAGAACTGCTGGGTACCAAGGTACTTGCCTTCGGAGTTCTTTCCATAGCCCAAGTGTTTATATATAGGAAGGGGTGGTCGGTCAGCAAAGTCCTCTGCTTTCTGGACCAATGCTTCCCTTATTGCCTGGAATCCATTCACTACCACCAGATTGTTCCAGCAGTTCTGAAGACTGTAGACGTTTCCAAATTTTTTACTCAGCTTCCAAGAAAAGAAAGAAGGGAAAATACATTGTTAGAAGCTCAATGATGCTTAATTTTGCTGGAACTCAAAGCCTGAAAAAGCGTTATTGTGTACACTCTAACTTTGATGGATCTCAGAGCACTCTTGGGCTTGTTAGTTAATCACTGATGTGCAGCTACTTCTGGAGTGGAATAATTCACAGCAGTATTATGAAGGGAGTGAAGAATACCACCACTACAGCTGAATGTTCAGGAAGATTGGATGTCAGCAGAACGTAACTAGCCAAGTTGAAATTTGGCCAAGGATTTTGTCAAAGCGTCAAAAGGTTTTTAACAACTACAAGAGGTCAGGACCTCTCTGTGTCATAAGTATGGATTCTTCTTAAAAATTATGTGGTGGTGCTGGTTTAAGCACTGACACAGGGAGCTTTCTACAACACTTCCTACAGCATGTGTCTTTGCACAGGAGTTATCCCATTCTAGCACTGACCAGCCCCATCTTGCTTAGTTTATGAAATCTAATGTTATCACAGAAGGTACTGCAGTGCTGGCTAGATACATGTGAAATATACATTACCAACATAATGGTTGGCGGCATGGTGTTCACTGCCATGCTGGCAAAAAGGTGTCAGCTCATGCCCAGGCTGCAGGCACTAGCTAAGAATTAACAAACTCATACCTGGAGACCAGACCAGTTCACTTGCATGTTTGTAATATCTGCTCAGAACTTGTGATCCTAGGCATGGTACTCCCCTCTGTCCCCCTCCGTCGGTCCCCCCCCCCATCCCGTTCCGAAAAGCTATCAAATCAGCTGGGTCATCAGGGAACATCACAGTACAAAGAGTTAATTAATGACCCAGTTGCACCTTGGAAATGCTGTGTTCCAGGAAGCTTGTCCTGTGCACTTGGAAGCTGAAAGAAGGGAATAAAACAAATATACAGGAAATGTTTCTGTCTTTGCCTGTCTGATAGGGGGATGTGAATGACTAGTTGACTAGTCGATTTGCTTATCAGACAGTTGACACACTAGCCGATTAGTCACTCCCCCCCCCTTGCTGCCTCTATCAGAAAGAGGCAGTAGGGCGGGGCAGGGAGACGAGGGGGTGCTTCATAGCTGCAGTACCACGTGGAGCCCGGGACCCAGAGTTCCCATCTGGCCATGGACTGCACGCGGTGTTTCAAAGTGGCAGTGCCACATGGAGCCTGGAATCAGCTGGGGACTCCCCCACTGATGCTGGGCTCCATGCGGCACTGCCACTTTGAAAGGCTGTGGGGAGCACGGGTCTAGCGTGGGACTGCTTGAGTCCCCCACTGGTCCCGGGCTGTCTGCAGCGCTTTCGCCTTTGAAGTGTAGCAACAGCCCTGGGGCTGTTGCTACACTTCAAAGGAGGAAGCGCCCTTACGAGTAATCAAATAGTCGATGCAAATTGCATTGACTATTTAATTAGCCAATTAATCTAAATTTAACAACCCTAGTCTGCTCTCTGACAGGGCAAGAGAATCCCAGGACTGCCAGCGGGATCTGCCAAAAAAAAAACCCCACTTTGAATAGACCGATCACTAGAACTCTGCCACTCTTATATTTAGATAACACATCTATAAGTATATGTTTGCTTGTTTGGACTGCCACATCTTTCTTATTTCTTACCTACTATACCAACCTTTAGAGCATCTATAATAGGACTGGCTACAGTAGTTGTCAGTGGTGTAAGATCTAGGGTACCAACCAGATTGGCATAAGCTTGGGACGGGTAGCAATCTGAATTTTTTTTGGTGTGATTTTTTTTTGGTGAACATTTATCGGTAAGTCCAGTTTGTGTGGTTGGCAAGATAGACTGGAGAGGCCAAGGGGACTGTCTGTGACCCTGTGGTAAGATTGTTTTAGTGATCCAGAGGTGCTAGCACACGGGTCGGGAAGGGCCTGGCAGGCTCTTACCACAGCCAGGTTTGGGCTTCCAGGCTGGCCAGGGAGCAAGGCCTCAGAAGGAGGAAGAGAAGGAGAGAGAGTGGGGTCACAGAGAGGGCCAGGCCTCAGGGGAACAGGAGAGGTAAGGCCACAGAGGGGTGGAGCCTCATGCCCTCCTATTCCGGCACTCCTGTCTAAGGGTACGTCTAAACTACATGGCTCCATCGACAGAGCCATGTAGATTTGTTTGTTTGGCAAAGGGAAATGAAGCCGCGATTTAAATAATCGCAGCTTCATTTAAATTTACATGGCTGCCGCGCTGAGCCGACAAACAGCTGATCAGGTAGGTAGGACCCAGTGCTTGCAGGGAGATACCTTTTAAGCAGGCTCCCCACAAGCACTGGCTCCTGGGGAGCCATCCCTTCCCCCCCTATGCTGCTGCCTCTGTATCATAAGTAGCAGCACTGCAGAGATGGGAGGCAGCTCTCCCATGTTTACAAAAAGTGCATTTCAACATGCCTCGTGAAGACAACTCATACCTGGAAAAGGGAAGGGTAAAGGTACAGACCTTTTCCTACACTCAAGGGAAACCTGAAGAGGGGGACGTCTATGGAATTGCAAGTGTTCAACGAGCACCCAGCAACTTTCAGGTTTTAAACCAAAGCAAACCAAGTAACTTCACTGAGATCCATTGTGCTTCTAAGTTCATGGCAAATCTGAGTTTTATACTTAACTAACTTGAGTTCTTTCCTGTAGCCAACAATTGTGTGATGCAGTTCAGGAGGGATAGTGCAAAGTTCTTTAAGATACCTTTGACTTTCCTGATGTGTGTCAGTCCAGGCCTGTTCCCTTGGAGTGATTTAAATTAGCCTGAAGGCCTCTCTCAATTGTGGCAGTTTTTAATGGCCATGAGACACAATTACAGTACCTGGGATTCTGCAGAACAGACACCCTAACTCATGCCCACCCAGCATTGGCTTATCCAAACTCTGCTGTGGCTAAATATGCTGTGACTGGCTACACCAGCTCTCAGGTTATTTTGCACAGTGTGTCTAATGGAAGCAAGACCGTGGGCCACTGTACTCTGGTGACCGGCATTCGAGAATAGGCTCAACATGTAACCCAGTTTTGGCTATTATTTGTGGGATTTCTTGAGGATTGTACACTTCTGAGCCAAGAATTTAGGGACAGAAAAACCACAAGGCATTGTTTTGTGTGTGCATGAAAAATACAAAACCCCACACTGCTTTGTGTTCCTGCTTTCCTCAAAGCCACATGGCCATCAGTCAGTGATTCTGATGCCCACACAACGAGGCATTGTGGGAAAGCACTGACAAACAGTGCCAGGCATTCTGGGCACTCACCTCATTACCAGAAAGATACTGATAAAGGAGGAGAAAATTCAGAGAAAAGCTACAAGAGAGATTAGGTAGTTGGATGGGCTGATTCATGAAGAAAGGTAAAACAGTCTAAATATATAGACTTGTGCCTGGTTGAATAGCTAAGGTGGTGGACTATGCTTCCTGCCTGCCAGTATTTGATAGGTGCAAATGACAGATGGAAATTGGGTTGGGTGAAGGAGTAATGGAATGAGTCTTAAATAATGGAAATTTTTCTCTGGACATCAAGAAATAAATCCTCAGTGAGAGATGTATCAGACTGGGGGATAGTTTCCTTGGGGTGACATTGAGATGAGGGCTAAGGGAGTCTGTAGCCCCCCTGATGCTTGAACCCCTGTATTTCATATTTGAGGTTTGCTTAAAGCACACGCTCTTGCCTCAGACCTAGCTCTTAACTGCAATAGAGCGTGTACTGCTCCCAGTTTTGCCTTTTGGGCAGGAATTTGTTTATAAACAGATGGAAGTAGGGTAATTAATTCAAGTAATTGTAGGGTTGTAATTGAGGTAATTGAAGGATCATTATATAATCATGAAGACATTGCCATGTACTCCACTTAAAAGATGTGAAGCAAAGGGTAGAAATAAATGGTGGTGTGCTCCAAGGGTCTGTGTTGGGACCAGTGCTGTTCATCTTATTATTCAAGGCAACAGAAATGATTGGAGGTAAGGCGCTGCTTCCATGTGAGGAGAGATTAACAAGACTGGGACTTTTCAGCTTCGAAAAGAAATTACTAAAGGGTGAAGTGATACATTAGAGATCTAGAAAATCATGAATGGTTGGTGAAATAGAATAAGGAAATGTTATTTATTCCTTCACTAACATAACACAAGAAGGTCACCCAATGAAATGTATAAGCAGCGGATTTAAAACAAATAAAAGAAATTATTTCTTCATGGTCAACCTGTGGAACCTCTTTCCCAGGGGATGGTGGAAGAGCCCAAACAATAACAGGGTTCCAATAAGAAAAAAAATAGTTCAAAGAGCATAGTTCCATCAGTGGCTCCTAGCTACTAGGGATGGTGTCGCTAATATCTGTTTGCCTAAAGCTGAGAATGGGCTACAGGGGATGGATCATTTGAGGATTGCCTCTTCTGTTCTTTTTGTTCATTCCTTCTGAAGCACCTGACATTGACCACTCTTGGAAGACAGGATGTTGGGGTAGATGGACCATTGATCTGACCCAGTGTGGCCATTCTAATGTTTTTACATAGGACACAGATGTATCTTTTCCCCCATTCCTCTCCCAAAACTGAGATAGAGCCCAGGAGTCCTGACAGTGTCTCTCTCTTTCTCTCCGCAGAATTAATAATGTACTAAGAATATACATTACTATTTTAAGGCTAACCAGGGGCCTGTAAGTGACTTGCAACAAGATGTCAGAATATGTTACTATTAGAGCTGAGTGGCTATAATGTTTATTATCAGAGGGGTATCCATGTTACTCTGAATTTTATCATCTCTTGCCTTACTCTTGATTGGTACTCTTTTTTTATGCCTGTATATTTATACCTGCTTCTGGAATTTCCACTACATGCATCTGACGAAGTGGGTTTTTGCCCACAAAAGCTTATGCTCCAATAAATCTGTTAGTCTATAAGATGCCACAGGACTTCTTGTCGCTTTTATGTTTATTTTATTCTTTTTTATACAAGAATTTAGATACAGTGCTCCTGTTAGCTAATTGCTAAGTTATCTCCTTAAAAAGTAGAGTTTTCAATTGCCTTAATAGTCCCTGAAAAGAGGAAATGCGTGTGTGGTGGGGGAAAGAAGGATGGACAGGGTTGATTCCCCCTTTCACACACACACCCTTGATTTGCTGCTTGGCTTGTACTGAGCATGCTCAGTAACAGGCTGAAGCTTCTGTCCTCAGTCTGCTCCCCCACCCCCATCTTGGCATACAAAGGTCACACCCTGTAACAAAATCTGAAATGGCACGCCTGCCTAAGGAAAGAAATGAAAACCTCAGTGCTGTTTCTTAAAACTGGATAAAGCTCTCAGAGGCATACCACTTGAAGTTAGAGGAGTGGATAAGAATAGGCCATTTCTATCTTTAATTTCCATGACTCTGTACGTAAAAAGAGCTGGTTTTCTTTCCATTTGGTGAGAAACACAAGAAAGCGAGATGAAATTGTTCCTAAAAACGTGGAGTCAAAAGCACCAACGGGTCAATAGTGCTGCTTTGTTCCACTTTTGCAGAGAGTCTTAATCATCTGTGGTGATTTACAAGGAAGGCTGTTGTCTGTGCCTGCACCTGCCCAAGCCAGAGAAACTTTTGAATTAATGGATCTGAGCAGAGACATTTTCACATCCAATGAATCTGTCACTAGCACTTTTCATCCCAATGGCTATTGTTGATACCTAAAGGAACCACTTCACCCGCCACTGAAGTGCAGCCATCCCTGCGATGGATTCAGCATCTGTTTAATAGGCCTAATGCTGTGCAACAGCCCTGCACACTACAATGTCTCCAACTGAACTTACAGGGAGAATGTGCATACTGTGTCTGCCTGTACTCGTGGAGCTGTGCACAGTGAGTATCCCTCTCCTCCAGCGCTGTCCCTCTGTCCCTACAGTTGCAGAGAATTCTGCTGGACTTTGGAGTGGTACATTGTACTCTGAGGCCTAATGCTGTGCAACAGCCCTGCACACTACAATGTCTCCAACTGAACTTACAGAGAGAATGTGCATACTGTGTCTGCCTGTACTCGTGGAGCTGTGCACAGTGAGTATCCCTCTCCTCCAGCACTGTCCCTCTGTCCCTACAGTTGCAGAGAATTCTGCTGGACTTTGGAGTGGTACATTGTACTCTGGTAATAGAGATGTAGCCGCGTTAGTCTAGTCTAGCTGAAACAAAAAACAGGACTATGAAGCACTTTACAGACTAACAAGATGGTTTATTAGGTTAGTCTTTAAAGTGCTACATAGTCCTGTTTTTTGTTTAATTGTACTCTGGATTCTAGAGCAAGAGCAAAACTAGAGCAGCTAATCAGAGCATTAAAGCCCCTTCTCCCCCAGGGCCATCATTAAGGAATACACAGAATACGCAGCTGCCTAGAGCACCACTAAATTTGGGGCACCAGCTGCCCCAAACAGAGGTGTGCCCTAGGCAGCTGCATATGCAGGCCCCCAGGCACAGAGGCAGCAGGAGAGGCCTGGACAATAGCAGGAACCCTGGGTGTGGGCCAGCGGCAGAGCCCTGGGTGGCAGCCAGGACCTTGGGTGTGGGGCCGGTTTTGGAGTCCCAGGGGGTAGCCGGATCCTAGCGCTGGTGACAGCTGGGAACCCACGTAAAATGTGTGGGTGTTGCAGCACCTCTCTTGTTCTCATATCTATACCTTCTTGCACTGCTCCTGTCCCCTCCCCCTCCACAGCCCTGAGTACAGCTCTCACCCTGTGGAGCAGCTGTTCCTCCGCTACACACACACACGCCTCTGCCTAGGGCACTATAAACCCTAAGGACAGCCCTTGTTACTGGGCTGGAAAAGTCCTGTACTTGTGAGAGAACCCCCTTCATTTCCCCTGCATTACTGAACCTCTACCCACTGCCAGCTCCGCTCACCAGCATGTTGTACTCTCCGGCCCTCTGGCACTGACCTGGGTAAAGGAGAGGTGCGGGTTGTGGTAGTCGATCTGCAGCATCGTCCCAATGAAAGGCAGCGAGGTTGGCCCTGGTGGGTAGCGGCTCCAGCTCTTCCTGCGTTTCACAAAATCAGTTAGCAGGGCAAAAACGATGAGGGCGATGCCCAGTGCTGGGAGAATTTTCCTGCAGGATAGAACCTGGGACCAGAACTGCAGGAGCAGTTCCATGATCTGTCTCCCCTTTGCTCCTTGTGCTTTTAACTCTCAGTCCCTGCCTCTTTTTACTGCTCCAGTTCTCTCACTCTTTGCTGTTGCTGTCTCTGTCCGTAGTTTCCTCCCCTCCCCAACCTCTCTCCCGCCCTCCTTCCCTTTCTTTATTTCTCAACATCCCTCTCTCCCATCCCCCTCCCCCTCCCCTGGCTAATGTCACAGCTTGAGGTTGCTGGGCCAGAATTTCTCCTCAGCCCATTAGCCCCTCCTCTGCATAGAGCACAAACCCACGTGGTAGTGGTATTGGAGCATGGCCCAGCCTCTGTGAAAGGGGAGGGCATAGGTCCATTGCCAGCACTTATAGTATCGCACAGGAAGGAGAAAAGAATCTGTGAGAGCTATTAGGCTGGGCCATGTGCCAGGATCAGTCTCTCCTAGGGCTTGAATCACCCTTGTATTCAGAAATAGCAAACCTTCACCTTCAGTGACCAGACGTCCCCATTCTAGAGGGACAGATATTCCCTCTGGATATTTGGTACCTTTTCTTACATAGGGTCCTATTACCTCCCTTCCTCCACACCTTCCTGATTTTTCACATTTGCCATCCGGTCACCCTGTCTTCACCATTTCTCCTCCCTTGGTTGGCAACTAGAAACCAGTTTTTGCTGAGCCCTTGAGAGGTTGCTTAAAATAAGTTTAACTAAATCCGAGTCCTTCTCTTTTTTTAAGGGACAACCAGCTACAGAACGCGGAGGCTTTGTCTACGCCTATTGGCAAATCGGAGCTGCGGGGATTGATCTCCCATGATTTAGCACCATGGTGTCCAAACAGTTCTGAAACAGTAAGTGCTATAGTGGCTATTGCTATAGCAAACTAGTCACATTCAACTGGCCAAATAGCCACATGTGGCTAGCGTGTTGGACATCACGGGTTTAGTGCATCTATTAAAGACCTGCTAAATCAACCACTGATCACATGCCTGTCGATTCCAGTACTCCACCGGGTCAAGAAGAGGAAGGGAGTCAATGGGAGAGTTTCTCCTGTTGACTGCATGCAGGGGGGGATGCTGTGGTAACTTGATCTAAGGCAGGGAGAGCAATGATTTTTAATGGGAGGGCCACTCCAAGATATTGGCAAGTGGTCAAGGGCCACACTTCTACTAGCTCAGCCTCCAGAACCCTCCAGTACTGGCCCCACCCCTGGAGGCCCCAGTGCCTTCCTCGCCCCCTCACCTAGCCCTGCACTGCTGCCCGTGTTGCAGTGGTTCTGGTACCCCAGCTCCAGCCCCACCACCCAGAGCCTCCCCTCCCACTGCAGCTGTTGGAGAGGCGTGTCCTGCCCAGCCTCTCCGCCATCCAGCACTGGTCAGGAGCAGGGTCTCTTCAGGCCACGGAAGAGTGGTTCCCTGCACAGCGGGAGGGCCACACAGAACGGGATCTCCTCCCTGCCATGGAAGAGTGCTTCCCTGTGCGGTGGGAGGGCTGTGCAGCACCGCTCCACATGGCCCTCCTGCTGGGCAGAGAAGCGCTCTTCTGCAGCCAGAAGTAGACCCCGCCCCTGCCCAGTGCTGGTTGGCTCAGAGGTGGGGAAGGCACGCCTCTCCCAACAGCCATAATGAGAGCAATGTACCTCAGCTCTGGTCCGCAGAGCCGCTGGGGCCTGGCAGCCAGTGGGCAGCGGCCGGTGGTTGGGAACCGCTGGATTAGGTGACTGGGGTGCAGAAGAGGGTATGGGGTCTGAGTTTGGGTGGAGGAAGTGGCTGTGATCTGGGGCAGAGGCTTGGGGTGTAGGGTCAGGATGGTGGTATGGGCGCAGGAGAGGATTCTGGCTTGGGAGAGGGGTTCTAGGAGGGGGTGCAGGGTCTGGAAGGGAGTTGTGACCTTGGAGAATGGGGCAAAGGGGTACAGAGGGGTTGGGTTGTAGCCTGGGGGTGGATAGTTGCGGGGAAAAGGGGATGGGAATGGGGTGGCAGAGCCAGGCTCTGGCTGGGAGGCATTTACTTAGGCACCTCCCAGCCAGCAGCCCTGCAGGAACTAGAGGCAGGCTGTCTGTTGACGTCTCCGTTGGCAGGTTGCTTCATGTGGATGAAGGGGAGGAAGGGAGGCCTCACATACTGCCCCTGCTCCCCAGTAAAATTTCTCAGCTGCCATTGGCCAAAAATTGGCCAATGGGAGCAGAGAGATTTTCCTGGGAGACGGAGGCAGTGGCAAAGCCTCCCTTCTCTGTCCCCAGCCTTTCAGAGTGGAGAGGAGCCAGTTGTTCAAAGCATAAGCTGCTCTTTGCCTAAGGTCCCGGGGAGGTGGCCACGGGCCGGATCTGGTGGCTTGGTGGGCCAGATTCAGCCCGCTGGCAGCCTCTTGCCCACTCCTGATCTAATGTATGCCGACTCCAGTTACACTACTCATAACTGGCGTTACATACCTTAGTTCGACATTGCCTCCTCGTGCAGTCCTAGCCAAGTGGTCCAAGGTATTCCAAAAGAACTAGGGACATTGCATACCACCTTTCTGGCTGCCTAGTCTGTGCCCACCTTACAGCGGGCTGGTTTCCACCTGTGAGTACTCAGTCAAGCCTCTTCAAGGGTCTCAGTCAAGCTGAGTGCCCCTCAGATAGGGGCTGAAACACTAGCCATGTCTGAAACCCTTACCCAAAATATTATGAAGTCAGGTCCTGCTTTCCCTAAATTCAGAAGGAAAATGATTCATTTGCAGAGGCAGAAAAATTATCCACCAGCCTTTGGCCAGAAGGTGAAATCCACTTCCTGCTCACTTCACTGTCTGAGCATCTTCTGTGTGGAGAGAAGAGCCCCTTACACCTTCTTTAAAAACATATTAGCTCTAGGGGTGGTTATTTGCTATGCTATAGCAGGCAACACTTCTGTTAACACAGCAGTAGGGTGTGACGCAGGCACCTCCTGCTGCCAATTAGCAGAGGACTTAGGGCTGCATAGAGTGGGACAGGAATCCCCCTGGATCAGATAAGATGTATAGTAATTCACTAACAGGTGGTATGTGAGGTCTCTATCAGCAACCAGTAACAGTCTGGTGGGTGTAATCACTTCAGGATACATGGATGATATTTAAGGAGTTATGTATCTATACTGAAAAACTATGTTCTTAAACTCTGTAAGTTAAGGCTTGTCACCAAAAGGTGAGAAACATGCTCCTGTCAGGCTGGAGGGAATAGACGTCTCTTTCTCTTCAGCTGGTCACATGTAAGGTGTCTGTGTTACACTGGAACCATAGCTGCAGAGAGAGCCAAATGCTAATCCAGAAATTGTGAAGTCTACAAGAAAGGAGTACACGGAAAACCCAGCCATGGGTAGTGAGTAGCATCCCGTTTACACATAGGGACAATAGACTGCAGGGTATAACTGAGGGTGAGAGAAACACCCTACACATCTTTCCACAGAGGAGACAAGCTGACAGCCCGGCTAGTCTCATGAATGGCAGATTGCAGCAGTCTATAACAAGACTCTCAATTGAGTCTAAATTAGCCACATTATACCATGAAGGCTGCGTCTAGACTGGCAAGTTTTTCCACAAAAGCATCTGCTTTTGCGGAAAAACTTGCCAGCTGTCTACACTGGCCGCTTGAATTTCCGTAAGAACACTGATCTCATGTAAGATTGTCAGTGTTCTTGTGGAAATACTATGCTGCTCCCGTTTGGGCAAAAAACCTCTTGCACGAATTCTTTTGCGCAAGAGGGCCAGTGTAGACAACGCGGTATTGTTTTGCGCAAAAAAGCCCCAATTGCGAAAATGGCGATCGGGGCTTTCTTGCGCAAAACTGCGTCTAGATTGGCATGGACGCTTTTCCGCAAAAAGTGCTTTTGCGGAAAAGCATCCATGCCAATCTAGATGCTCTTTTCCGCAAATGCTTTTAACGGAAAAACTTTTCCATTAAAAACATTTGCGGAAAATCATGCCAGTCTAGACGTAGCCAAAGAGAATAAGGGACAAATGCTATTTAGGACCTTAAACAGGACTGACACCACAATACATACAGTCCACTGGGCTTTGGAACCCATATCCTCCGCCTAGCGGATGCCATTATTTGAGGGTGTCCCCCATCACTGGGGTATGCCATATACAGTTCTGCTGCCCTGGATTTACATGACAAGGATAACAACCCTGTATTACTCCTGCCCTAATAATAGGACGACTGGGCACCCAACTCCAGCCAATAGTGATCATTTGGGCAAGCATTCCCATCATGCTGAGCACCTTGGCAAGGTGCCCATGCACATGAGATTATCTCCTGAAGTCCTCTTCCACAGCTCACCACTAGATGACAGGGGAGAGCACATTCCGCCTCTGCTTATATAAGTGAAGGAATTTTGTTTCTCTGGGATATAAAAACATCCACAGCATTTGCAATAAATGTAATTTAGAAGGAACCTATGGGTTTTTTAGGTAATATGGCTGTAGCAGCGAACACAAGCCTTTTGGGAAAAGTCATAGTCACAGTTAGGGAGATAATGGAGACTGTTCTTATAACACCACTTGTATGTGTACTTGGCACTGTTGCCACACTGACATTTTACTAAATGTCAATTTCCCTGTAAGCTGAGCACTTGGGCGGCTGCCCAAACTGGCAGCAGAGTGCTCACATGAGTTCTTACTAGTGGTGCATATCTGCACGTACTTCCATGCACATAACATTTATTCCATGCATGGATGGAAAAAATTAGAGGGAACATCGCTAAATGCATATGAGCTCTCTCTACTTTGTAACCCAGGCCAGAAATGCAATGCAAGCTGCATGATGATATGCCACTGGGGCTACAGCAGTCCAGGACTGGGGCTTTTTATACAAACAAAAAACAAGCTGCATTACTTACCCTGATGACTGTGAAGCTCATAATAAAGCCAGTCCCAGCAACACAGATCTCAGTCCAATTTGAAAAGAAATGGCGAACCATGAGGGATCAGTGTGAAAAGCCTCCTACTGCACAGTTTTATATCCTTTCGATGTTATCGCCTGGCTAGAGAGCCACCTCCTTAGATTCTTTTAGAAATAAAACATTTTGAGAGAATAAAATTACAGCAAACGTATGTGCATTGCTGGAAGCATCAAGAAACAACAACACTACACAAGTGTGTGTGAGAGACTGTGTATAGTACATGTGTGAGAGCAACATGGAGCACCCATTTAGGGATATTGCCCTTTTTACTAGAACAGCACTCACCAGTTTGAAGCCTGTTTGTTTAGACACAGCAGCAACGGCTGGCAAACTCCAGCCTATGTCCTGCACCTAAGCCCTGATGTGTCTCCCCACACACATGCTGGAGATCAGGTGCTGGGGCAGAGGGAACAGAGAAGGGAATACCCTGACATCAGACTCCTCTGAACATTCTGCGTAGCCAGAAGGAGGCTCTGGGGAGCAACTGGCCAGGGGCTCCAAGGCAGAGGGTAGGAGCATGTGACGTGCGTGCACACAATAGACTGCTGGGAGGCCGCACAACTTAGAGGGAACATAGATCCTGTGAACCTTTTTGAATGTTCTTTGATGTGTATCCCCAGATACAGTTTTTCTCCCATTCAGCTTGTGCTCAGGGATGCTGACGCAGTTCGGTCTTCCTCACCACTCTCACCATTTGGAAATGAGCCTCCATTATCTCTTGCTTCATCTTGCTCAACTTATAGTGGAGACCCCAACAGGCAAAGCAACATTCTTTTATCTAGATCACCACACTGATTGATCAGCTTTCCCCACCGCAGATTTTAAGACTTTATTACAGCACACATATGTAACTCTCTAGACACACCCTCAACACAAAGCTATCCATGACCCACGTCTCACCAGTTTTAGATCTTACACTGTTTGGCTAAATATTT